GCAGGAATCGCCCTCTCGGAAAATGATCGTCGCAAATGTCTGTGCTTTACGCACAAACTCTGTATGTCAACGTATGCACAAGAACGGAACTTTAAACTGCTGACCCGATGGTATCGGTCCCCGGTTAGAATGCACCAGATCTCCTCTGCGTACCCGGACACATGCTGGAGATGCCTGGTTGGACCTGGCACGTTGGCCCATGTGTGGTGGAGCTGTCCTTTGCTTCTGCCCTTTTGGCAAGTTATCTCACATGTCTACTCGAGTTACCTCCATTGACCTGCACATTACACCGGAGATGGCTCTGTTATCTGTCTTTCCGGGCTCTATCTCTAAGGTGAAAAAGTATCTGCTTAGATTCTTTATCATTGCTGCCAGAGCTTTAATCCCTCGACATTGGAATTCCACTGTCGTCCCATCAGTTGCGGAATGGACAGCAGAGATGTGCCGCCTGATGAGATCTGAGGAGCTCATTGCAGAAAGAGCTGACCGATCTGATACCTTTCTGACCAGGTGGACGCCGTGGATATTGTTCTTAGATACGGAGGAGTTTCAATCTTCAGAGATCCCTCTAACACTCCAACTAAACGAGGGGCAACTTTACAGACCGTGAGGTGGGATTACCCCCTCGCCTACCATCTACTCACCCCCCTCCCCCATTACACCAACCATTTGCTAAGGCGGTATACGGACGTCTCTGATCTACCACCTCCTCCTCCTCCCTTTTGTGTCTCCTCCGCCCCCCCCTCTTGTTTCTTTTTCGTCTCCCCCATATCCCCTCTGTTTTACTCTCAGCTTCTTCTCCTGTTTGTCTGTGGTAAATGTTAGTTGTGCAACACCTTTGGTCACTTTGTTTATACACCCACCGGTTGCCTGTTCCTTAGAATTGGCTCGCCTCCGATAGCAGGATGGCGGCCCAAGCCCTGCAGGGTAACGAACCTCAAATTGCGCATAGCTCAGGGATTTCATAAGGTGCCTACACCATGAGTGCCTTCTATGTTATAAGGCCCGGACATAATATGTGCTTTGTAAGACCGCGGTCGTTGTGCTGCATGTACGTCTTTTGTTTCTGTTGGTGTATTCATATTATTTTTGTTTCTGTAAAAATCTCAATAAAAATATATTTCTGAAAAAAAAATATGTAGGAACAGAAAAGTGTGGAAGCTTGAGGGCTACTGAGACCATTCAAGCCACAAACTAATGCCATACTTTCCTCACAGATGAAGGTGCACTCCTGAATGTGAGTTTTTAACATATTTTAAATAGGCTTGCACTGTGACCTCGCATTTTTTTCCATACCTCTTTGATATGAGGTGTAACAATTTATTTTTCCGAAATGGACTGTTAAAAAAAAAAAAAATGTTGCTTACCTATACACTAGTGGCTGTTGTCGCTGTCAAGCTAGTCCCCTTGTGGCGCAACATACTTTTCTAGATGACTGTGCCACTGCCGGAAATATTCCTGGAATACATTTTCGGGAACGCTGCACAGTATTTTTGTCACGGCGCGTTGGATGTCTGGAATGTAGGGATGCATGCCGTTTGCCCCGATTATCAGGAAGCTGATGTTCTATTGAAAGAACACCGCCTTGTCTTCCCGAGGCTGACTGACCAATCAGAAAGCCGGGCAGTGGGTCATGAGGTGCCGTCTGGCTTCCTGATTGGTCAGAAAGCCAGGCTGCCTAGCAACAAGTGGAGCCAGCTTCCTAGCCAATCGGGAAGATGGGCAGCACCTCAAGACCCGCCTCCTGGCTTCCTGAATTGGCTAGGAAGCCGGCTCACTTGCTGTTAGGCAGCCTGACTTCCTGACCAATCAAAAAGTCCGAAGGCAGGTCATAACCTCCCGCCCGCCTTCCTGATTGGAAAGGAAGGCAGCTCCATGCTCCCTCGGCACAGCCGGTCAGAGGGAGATCTCCTTCTGACCGTAAGTTACGATATCTGAGGTAAGTATTGGAGCATTTGGGCAAGTATGAGTACTCGCCCAAATACTTGATATCGGCACTGATACCAATTCTAGTATCGGTGCATCCCTACTAGAATGTCATCAAATCTGTGTCCTTTTAAGGCTTATTTTAATTTTGGAAACAACCAAAAGTCACAGGGTGCTAAGTTAGGGGAATAATGTTGGTCAAGTTTCGGAATGGATTTCTGAGCCAGAAACTCGCAAACATTTAACGCATCATGTGCAGGAACATTATCATGGTGGAGTATTCACTTCTCAGGCCAGAGTTTAGGTCTTTTCCTTCAAACAGATTGCTGTAACCTTTTTAGAATTTTCAAGTAACAATGTGGGTTAATCGTTGTACCATGTGCTATGAACTATGATCAAAAAAACACACCAGCACGGTTTTGAACTGAGAATGTGACATGCGTGCTTTCTTCGGGCAAGTTAAATTCTTTGTTTTCCACTGAATGCCACTGTTTTCCACTGGCATTTTCTTACCAGATCATACTGGAAACACCATGTTTCATAACCGGTAATAACCCTATCAAACACCTCTGCATTCTTTAATAGATCAGATGAAATTTGAAGACAATGTTCTTTCTGATCCTCTGTCAAGATTTGTGACACTATCTTTGCGGAAATCTTTCTCATTCCCAAATCCTCTGTTAGAGTCTGCCGCACTTTTTCACTGTTAACGTTCAATTCTTCTGCCATCAATCGCATACTCAATCTTTGATCTGAGCGTACGAAGGTTCGCATTCTGTCCAAATTTGCATCCGTCCTTTTGCATTTTTGGCTGCCCACTTCTTGCATCATCATAGACATCTTCCCACTCCTCCTTAAACTGCCTGTGCCATTCAAAACACTTGATTTCTTAATGGAATATTCACCATAAGACTGCTGTAACAGACCTAAAGTTTCACTTGCACTTTTGCCAATTTTCATGCAAAATTTGATGTTAATCTGCTGCTACAGATTCCTGTCACTAATTTTCCTCCAACAGGAACAACGCACACAGGTGTTATTTCTTCTACTACTCCATAAGGACTGAGCCAACTGGTCTGCAACCCAGGCGAGTGCCAGTTAGAACATGTCGGAACACGCTCAAGTGCAAATGGCTATGTGACTCACCACTATAGTGCTACGCTGCTGGCATTCCGGGAATTAAATTGTCACACCTTGTAGACTTAACAGCAGTCAACTGTTTTTTTCCTAAAGACAAATTTAGTGTCATGGAGCATGTGTGGAATAAATGGTTTTGTATTTGTTAAATATTTCCAGGGCCATTTTAGTGCAGATGTTTCTGCCAACTATTGTTTGCTCCCTGGCTGGGGGAATGAGTGATTTGATTGTGTGTGTGTGTGTGTGTGTGTGTGTATGTATGTGAGGCCTAAACATTTTGAAAAGATTTGTCGTCCTCTTAGGAGATCACTTCCTGTGTGAGTGTGTCAAGGGCTGTGGTGAAATAAAGGAGATATTCTAGGTGAGATTGTTATGAGCTTAGTCCTCGGAATTGCAGAGTGAGAAATCTTTTGTTATAATCAGCTGAGAGTTTGTAAATAAACTTGGATATCTCTCTCCTGTTTCGTGATCCTCAACATAGTGCAAACTGCATTGTTTTCTAAATTTACAACTAAAAAGGTAATGGCATATTTACTGAAGTGTAAATTGAAATTATTAGTGTTTAAATAATCAAAAAATAACTGTATATATCTATATCCTCTAACTGTGAGAAGCAAATCATCTATATATCTAAAATATTCCATGATAATGTTCCAAAAAAGATTATTGCATCCATATCTGTATGCGTGTTCCAAAAATCTCATGTAAAGATTAGTTAAAGGTGAAAATTTGACCCCATAAAGGCCCTACACATCTGTTATGTTAGGGAAATCTTTTTTCCATTTTGGATCTTCAAATAAAATACTAGCCCACCAGTACTGAATTATGCCTTTTTTTCCTGCAGAAAATAGGAGTAGATCAGGATTTATCTACATCGGGGACAATGTTTATTCTTGTGAATGAGTAACAAGGGGTACTATATACCCCCTACTCATTGACATGTAAGCAAGATATCCAAGGGCACCATTTTTCTAAAGGGGGTTTCCATATTCAGATAAGTTCCCCATATTCAGATAAGTTCCCACCTGCAGACCTCCATATACATTTGGTCACCACACGTCATTTTGTGTTCTTTTCCTGGGGTCTTCCTTTTAAATGCCTACCAGACCATGATGAAGGGGTTACCCCACACTGTTTTTTTTTGTTTTTGTTTTTTTTTTAAAGCAATCTGAGAAATGTAATTTAGTGTCATGTTTCCCAAAATGTCACTTTTGCTGTAGTACATTCTATAGGTGATCCACTTCATGTGTACAGTTAAAGTGACATTAAAGTCAAATCCCCCC